GAGAAAGAAAGGAAGGAAGGAGGGAAGGAAAGAAGGAAAGAAAGAATGAAGGAAGGAAGGAAGGAAAGAAAAATACAAAACAAAGAAAATACCATTGAACCCAATTCTATGGTTGTGGTGTGCCATCTTTTGCTAACTAAAACATATTAGACATTGGATTGTGTGCCATGAAGTCTCGAAAACATGATCTAAGGAATCCAGTATGACCCTGGATAGCATCAATAACTTGTTTAGCTCAATGTGACTGTAGAACATAGACAGTCTGAGTTAAGTCCATCTGAATTCTAATTTAGTCAAATAATGGCTTATCAGATTTGGCTAAGCTAATGCAATTGCATCATGATTTCAGTTAATAAGTATAACCTAGTACCTCATATAAAGAAATTTACTTGATCTTTCTAGTGAGCAGTGACTGAGTTAGAGTTGATTCCAATTTTTAAAATTCCAATTTACTTATGTTAGTAATTTGTTAAGACAAAAATGCCCAGGTAGTTTGAAGTGTTTTTTTCTTTTCTTGTTGTCACTCATCCTTTAATGTTTTCGAGAAATATGAAGATGTTTAACCATGTATAACTGAAGGAGTGTATGATATTTATATGCTTAAATATGATGTTTTATATCTTAGTAACTCTAGTAGAGCCACTACCACACATAAAATATATATCCTAATATTTTAAAGAAAGACAAATTTTTATTAATGCACGTGTTATTTTTTAATAGTAGGTATTGGGTTTTGTGTCCAATAATATGGGACTCATGAGAGATCACATTTAAGACACACCTAGAAGAAACCCACAAATGTAGGGTCTAAAGAGCAATACAGGCTGGAATTACTTTTCAGCAGTGACTTTTCTCCTTTGAAGAGCATACTAAGTTCCAAGAGAGATAACTGCTTTGGACAAATAAAAACTTAACTTCCCCACCCACTCTTTAAACACAGTTTTCATATTATATTTCTCCATTATCCATGTGTGTCTCTGACACATGATGCTGCTCATAGGCCTTATGCTGTCTGCTACATTAAAGACAAAAATCATGGGGCAACATCTTTCACATCATAAATGTTCAATAGATATTTGATATTATTGCTGCCCATGGGAAAGCTTTTTCACCCCAGAGAACAGTATCCGTGGTCCCTATTATGATGATAATAATAACAGCAATTACTAGGGGTAGGACATGCAATCACTGAAATAAACATTGATGCTTTCCCTTTTAATTCAGTATCCTGGATGTCTTTTTAAACATGCTTGCAAACTAAAAATCTAGCTCTTGACCAAAGATCTGGTAGGTAGCACTACCAATTGATAAATCAATAAAATTATCTGCTTTCCTGTTAATCTGATACTTTCCACATTTTCTAACTTCCTTGCTGAAATATGAAACTCAAGTTGAAATTCAAATGTGTTTTTCATTCTGCTACATAAGGATACTTGCTTTCATACCTTAACCTAGTTCAGCATGTAAACTTCACCTTTTTATGTTTTTTATATATACTGCCATATCCAAACATTATAAAAGAGGTTTTGTTCTATTTGTTTGCTTTTGTTGTTTGTTTTGAAAGCAGTGATAAATTGTTTCCAGTGTTTGTATAAATCAAAAGAAATGTCTCAAAGTACTTAAGAAAAATGTTTAATTAGACATTTATTTAAAGATTTTAGATGTGTTTGCTTCTAAATTAGCAAGCTACTCTTGCTCTCAGTCTGCTTCAAGTTTCTTTTGTGTTTTCTTATCCTCTGTTGGCAGGTTTACATCCAATTCAGTCTTCCTGATAGTGAGATACAATCTTACTTCTAAGGCAGAGTCAACCAAATTCAGACAATATTAGAGTAAAAGGGCTCTAAAGTAAGGTTGCACTGTTTCTGCTGAGTTAAACTCAGAAAACTATAGGAAGAAGCAGCTGCTGTGCCTTTTACAGGCTTCCTGGCAGTGAAGCTCATGGCACCTGCAAGTTACAATTTCCAGTGATAGTAGCCTAGGGCTGAGGGATTTCAGAGTTATTTGATTGTCCGTAGTGTTCTGCTTGTTGTGTTAAACAGGATGCATTTGTCTCTGAGGCTCTTCCAACCACTACCCCGATACCCATGGGAAACCTTTGGCCTCAGCTAAACCTATGCTGTGGGTTTCATTTGTGTCCCCCTCCTTTTTATTGTGCTGATTGCATGTGCACAGTATCTTCAGTGTGTAGGCCTTCCGTCCTAGAATAGCCGTGAAAGAGCCAATAACAAGGGTCTTCAAAATCTCCTATCTGAGAAGACAGGTCTCAAAAGGCAGAAGCAGAACGCCTGAAATCTTAAAAGGGAAGAGAGAAAGGAATAGTGATGTCTGGAGTGATAAGACAGGCACGTGCTATGCACTAATGAACTACATGGGCTGATTTGTGACACCCCCCCACACACACACACACATATACACACTGGCCTATCAGAAAAGCATACTATCCAGCACAGGACAAAAATATTTGCAATGATTCTTTTTTTAAAAAATCAGATTATAGAGTCCACGCTTAAAAGCCGCCTTGCCTTTGTTCAGTGCCAATATGTATTACCCATCCTAGAGGTTTTTTGCAAATACTGTGTGGGCTGGAATAGCCCATGATAACCCACTTGAGCATACATCCTCTTGTCAGGGTTACATGTTAGAGGTGAAAAGAGCTAAAAACACAAGCATGGCTACTGTAAATTGCGAGGCGAAAGAATATCAAAGACAAGCTTGTTGCATTTTTGCGGGCGCCAGAGCTGCTTTAAGGGCTCCGGTGAAGGAAAACAGTCATAAAGTCTCACCTTTGTCCCCGGTACCTACTACCCCAAACTCCTTAAGTTGGTTTTCAGCCTTCGAACGGGAGGCTCCTGTGCCCATAGGTGGCGCCCCTCGTCCGTGCTTGTGGCTCTGCAGGCGCAGCTCGGAACCCCGCGTCTCTACCCTGGTCTTTAGAGCCCAGAGACTGCGTTTTATTAAATATGCGCGTTGGCACCGCGCTCCAGAAGCCCCGGGGTTCAGAGAAGCGGACACATAAACCCAGTCAGGAAGCTCCCCTTTAATCTCTGCCAAGAACTGACATTTCACAAACGGGAGATTCTGGAATTGCAGTTTTAAAACCATTTAATTCCTAAGCATTTTCCTCCCTTAAAAAAAAATACTGTTCCTTTTATTTTTTGTTTTTAAGTGTTCGTGCCCCTCCCTCTTTAATTATGAAAGTGGCCACTCCGTACAAGATTAAGATTTGGAGGGACTTTGGAAAAGAAAAGGAATCTGGAAGAAGAAACACAGCTGGTGCTTCCGAGGGCGCCTAGTTTCAAGAAGGCACCTAGGAAGACTGCGCTGCGTGTCTAGGTGAGAGCTGGACGCGGGCTTGGCAGGGTGCCAGGGGGGAATCCGAGGGAAGGGGCTGTGGATTCTAGGAAGAAAGAAACGGTGGTTCCTAGGCTCCGCGCGGCGCAGCAGAGCGGGAAGCTTGAGGGTTCCAGACACCGCGGTGCGCTGAGCAGCTTGGAGCGCAGCGCTGTGCGGGGATCGGTGGGAGCGTGGGGCCGGGGCGTGGTGCGCTTGCGGAGCCTGAGCGGACCGCCAGGAGAGGCTGCAGGGCGGGGCGGCGCGGTTATTGGCCAAGCTCTGGGAGAAGGGTCGTGCTCCGTGGTGTCCTCCTCCCGCTAGCTCCTGCTTGCCTCATTTTCTCTAAGCAGAACAACTTCGTGGACCTCGGTGCTCGCTCATCATGGATGTTCCAGGTAACCCACCCCATCTGAGCTCCTGCATCTGGTTGCTAGTTGCCTTTTTAAAAAGCTTCACCAGACCCTTGAGCAATGATAGTGCTGGGGGTTCAGTTTAAGAGAGATACGAGAGTCGGTGGCGGAGTGGGGGGAGGGAGGTGGTCCGCTATCCTTTGTGTAGGAACCGCAGACAGGATATTTATTAAAACCCAACTTATCTTTTCTTAGAAAGAACACTGGAAGAGTTGCTCGGAGAGCGTGGGTGGTGAGGGGAGGGTTTGTTCTGTTTGTGTTCTTGGGCTGGGTATCGGAATGGCAGGCCTTTCTGGGTTAGCTGAAGAAGAGGCGACCGGCTTCAAGTGCCAACCCGCATAAGTTAGCAGAAAGGTACAGAAGAAAGGGAGTGGGGTCCAGAGACAAGATCCTGCAAATGAGTAAAATCCGGGGATTCTGGTGCTGGAAGAGGCTGTTAGTTGTCTTTGCCAGAAAGAGGACTCCACCAGGCTCTCTTAAGGGGCTCCTCAGTGACTGCAGGGACTTGGAAGTGGGTGTTAGAATTTCGCTCCTCACCCACTCCCACATCCTTTCTTTCTCTGTTTCTGTCCTTTCCTTTTTTTTTTTTTTCTCATCCACCCAAGGAGTTTTCTGTTTTTTTTTTTTTCTCCTCTCCTCGGGGGTTATGAGTAGACTCTTTTTATCGGATAAGGAGTGTTTAAAAATTTCTTCCTGGATAGAAAAAATAGAGGAAAAGGGGAAGGCCTGGAGAGGAGTGTTGTCTCCTGTGGCTGTCCAAAAAGCCACTGAAATGAAGCTGATGAGGCATCACTTTTGCTTTTTTTTTTTTTTTTTCCTTTGACTCCATTTAATTCTAGTGTTGGGATGAGTAGGCAGAGGGCGACGGTGATGACGCCGTCTTAGAAGTCCCCAGCCCCTTTTACAAGGTCCTGCAGAATCGCAGCCCCAAACCCTAGGCTCCGGAATCTGTTTGGATGGGCTGACTTGTGCGCCAGAGCTTTTTCGGATCCATTATGCCACGTCTGGAATGGGGATAGCTCTGGGGGACCATGGGGATGGCCATCCCGAAGGGAATGGAGAGCACCAGGCACTTGCCCTGCTACACACACCTTTCCGCCTAAGGATTCTGATTCTTTGCCCTGACATCTCCACTCGTGCCTTCCTTCTGAGAACCATTTGGCCTTGATCATCTGAGCCTGGGACCCATCCCAGAGAAGGCTGCTGCTCCTGTCCTGCGTGTTCCTGTGCGCA